CCTCTAATGAATGTTTTCAGGGACCTTGAAGGTGTCTGGCTTGGCTTCAAGCTCCAGTTTCTTGAAACAATTGGTAATTGTAGTGTTGGCAACCACAAAAACGGCTTGTAAATGGACCCTGCAATTTTCAGGCCATTATTGTAAACTTGACTTGGAACATACAAGTCAAGGATAGTTCTTGGGAGAAGTGTCCTCAGAGAAGTTCTTTTTATTAAGCATGCCTGTATGCAATAAATGTAATGAATAATCAACTGTAAAGCAAAAATATTCTAAGAATTGCAGTGATTGATTAACCATTCTGGTTTGAACTTCCCATGTATAAATGAATAGGTAAATGAATAAAATATACAGATTGCAGTTGCAAAATACAAAAAAGTGACATATGAGTGATGAAAGCAGGCTAACAGTAGAGTAATGCTTTTCATTAAGGAGCTGCCTGCATATTCATTAGAGCTAGTCGATTACTTAAAAAATATATTCATCAGGTAATTTATTTGATGAATTTTACCATTATTTGTCAAATAATTTATTCAACAAAAAAGGTAAAATTAACAGAATAGTGCATTCATCAAATCTTATTGGACAGCTCTAATACTTATTCAGTTCTGTACATTGAAGTTGATTCAGGATTAGTAATACTGCTGCAATCAATGCAGAAAAATTTCCTGGTAAATCCATTACTCTACTGTTTTCTCATATACTCACAGATTTCATGTACTTAATCTAGGCCACTGAAAATGAACATCTTTCTTGCAGAAAAGTAAATATTCAAAGAGTTTAAAGTTTCACCTTTTCTCAGCCTTCAATATTGAGTGTGATCTAGCAGTCCATTGCTGCCACTGGAAAAAAAAAAAGGAAAAAACAAAAAATCATCCCCTCTAAGGTCAAGTACACTGCCTCTTCGGGCTTCTTCACATTATTATTCCTTTCTTCAGTGAAGCAGCTCATGGTCATTACTATTGATATTCTTAATATTCTAAGGATCATTATCAAAAATATTGTTTGACCTCTGATGTCCGTCACAACAAACCATACCACCATCTCACATTTTTAGTGTTTATTTATGCTATGTAAAGTGCTGTGGGGGTTTTTTTCCAGGGTTATTTGTGATAAATGCCTAGTTAGGTTTTTAGATAGATAAGTATACCCTGTACTGTTTACTGTACATTTTTCAGAAAATAGCTATTTTAAACATTTTTTATATCTACTCTTATTCCTCTGACTGTCTTTTTAGTTGAAATAAATTTCCTACAGGGACTAGCAATGGCTTTCCTATTCTTTATGAAAGAGTAATAGTTGCCTTTTCATTAGCCCCTCTGTGGCTTCATTTAAAGGTGTGTCTCTTGCATTTCTCATGCCATTGTGGATAAACTAGAGATAATTAATTATACTGTGACATTAAAGACTGAGTCTGCAATTTTGGTTGAAACAGATTAGTTTGGACGTCAGCGTTGTTCAGCAACAACAATACCTGCTGTGCTAAATAACCGTTGAATCGGAAAGGACTTGTCCTGTTCAGTGGATAGGACCAGCTTTAGTTCGCAAGCCTCAGCTTCCATACTCATTTCTCAGCAAGGCCAGGGCTTTCACATGAAATTTAGGATTTCCCTTCCTTCCCTCTGTCGTTAAAGCCCCTGTTCTGAAGTCTCTGGAAATAGTTGGAAAAAGGGGCTGTGGTCGTTAGTCTACAACATGAAAATCACTTGCTTTTTTGTTGTTACATAGGAGCAAATCCATCACATAAGGCTCAAAGATCCTCTGACAGATGTTCCACATAAAAGTTGTGGTTTGGGTTTTTTTTAATTTAACCCAGCTAGTGGTATTATAAGAAAAAGCAGGTGAAGAAGTTCTGCCTCAGATTCACTGAAGGGACGTTAGATTTCAAAAGTCAAGTGTGTCCTCTGCCTTCAGCAGTGAAGCAAGCAGGAACAGCAGGTGAGGGAATGCAGGTGGATGCCCAGGGGAAGGGGAGGAGCACCCACGGA